AGACAAACAAACAAAAAAACGCATATCTAACAGGCCAGGTGCGGTGGCTCACACCTATAATCACAAAACTCTGGGAGGCTGAGGCAGGCAGATCACCTGAGGTCAGGAGTTTGAATCAGCCTGACCGACATGGAGAAATCCCATCTCTACTAAAAATATAAAAGTAGCCAGGCATGGTGGTGTATACCTGTAATCCCAGCTACTTGGGAGGTGGAGGCAGGAGAATCGCTCAAACCCGGGAACTGCAGGTTGCAGTGAGCTGAGATCCCACCACTGCACTACAGCCTGGGCGACAGAGTAAGACTCCATCTCAAAAAACAAAACAAAACTAAATACATCTAACAATCAAGGGGTGATATAAATGGCTCCACGATCTAAAAGGAAACCTTCTTATGTCCTGTGTATCATGGAAATTCAATGAATGCCTATTCCATTGACTCATGTGGACTTCATAATAAACTGTTCAATTCATCATGTAGATAAACCTTGCATCAAAAGTAGAAAAAATATTGTTCTTTTAGTTCTGTCTACCCAATAACGCAATATTTGCATGTATTTACAATGGATTAATAAAAAGAAGATGAGTATATTCTTCTAGAGAATATTAGACAGAATTTTGACAGCATGAATTCTCCTGTAATGGCACATAATTAAACAGAGACATACTATTTCATGTGGAAGGTAACACAGGGAAGAAATCAATGTTAAGTGTGAAATAACTATGGCACCTAATCTTCTGATCTGCCTCAAGACCGAAAACCTACCTCCTGAAGCTGGTTTATCAAGCTGTAAATCTTCACGTGTTGAATTCAGAAGCTCATGTCTGAAAGGTGAGAATGAATACTCAATGTTCACTAGGAAATATTCAGCAGATAACCACTAGCACATATTTAACACTAAGTCAGTAAGGCAGGGTTTCAAAACCAGAAAAGATAATCTGGATGCTTGAGCACAACTAAATGCTTTTTTTTTTTTTTGGAGATGGAGTTTTGCTCTTCTTCCCAGGCTGGAATGCAGTGGTGCAATCTCAACTCACTGCAACCTCCACCTTCCAGGTTCAAGCAATCCTCCTGCCTCAGCCTCCCGAGTATCTGGGATTCCAGGTGCCTGCCATCATGCCTGGCAAATTTTTGTATTTTTAGTACGGATGGAGTTTCACCATGTTGGCCAGGCTGGTCTTGAACTCCTGACCTCAGGTGATCCACACGCCTCAGCATCCCAAGTGCTGGGATTACAGGCATGAGCCACCGCACCCGGCCCACAACTAAATCTTAATTTGAGGTTTCTACAGAGTAATAAAACAAAATGATAACTGCAACTTGTCTTATAAGGTGCTTGATGGAGTATGTATCCTCACAGGTAAAGAGGCAACTTTGTGGCGGGGCGCGGTGGCTCACGCCTGTAATCCCAGCACTTTGGGAGGCTGAGGCAGGTGGATCACGAGGTCAAGAGATCAAGACCATCCTGGCCAACATGGTGAAATCCCGTCTCTACTAAAAATACAAAAAATTAGCCAGACGTCGTGGCACATGCCTGCAATCCCAGCTACTTGGGAGGCTGAGACAGGAAAATCGCTTGAACTCAGGAGGTGGAGGTTTCGGTGAGCATAGAATGCGCCATTGCACTCCAGCCTGGGCAACAAGAGCGAAACTCCGTCTCAAAAAATAAGAGGCAGCTTTACAACCCACAGCTGTTCGAAGCATATTACAAAACTCTTCAATGGGATCCTTTAACGTCATATTGTATTCAAGACTACCTTCCTCCATACAGCTATAAAAATAATCATATATTCTCATATATGCTTTAAAAATCTCAGGCCTATGAGGCCAAGGTGGGAGGATCACCTGAGGTTAGGAGTTCAAGACCAGCCTGGCCAACATGGTGAAACCCTGTCTCTACTAAAAATATAAAAATTAGCCAGGCGTGGTGGCACATGCCTGTAATCCCAGCTACTTGGGAGGCTGAGGCAGGAAAATCGCCTGAACCTGGGAGCCAAGAGTGTGCCACTGCACTCCAGCCTGGATTTCTGTGGGAGATGCCAACTCAAAAAAAAAAAAAATCGTGATCAGCCTAGCCAACACAGTGAAACCCCGTCTCTGCTAAAAATGCAAAAATTGGCTAGATGCGTTGGCTCATGCCTGTAATCCCAACTTTGGGAGACTGAGTCAGGCAGATCATGAGGTCAGGAGATCGAGACCATCCTGGCTAACACAGGGAAGACCCATCTCTACTAAAAATACAAAAACTTGCCAGGCGCGGTGGCTCAAGCCTGTAATCCCAGCACTTTGGGAGGCCGAGGCGGGTGGATCACGAGGTCAAGAGATCGAGACCATCTTGGTCAACATGGTGAAACCCCGTCTCTACTAAAAATACAAAAAATTAGCTGGGCATGGTGGCGCGTGCCTGTAATCCCAGCTACTCAGGAGGCTGAGGCAGGAGAATTGCCTGAACCCAGGAGGCGGAGGTTGCGGTGAGCCGAGATCGTGCCATTGCACTCCAGCCTGGGTAACAAGAGCGAAACTCTGTCTCAAAAAAAAAAAAAAAAAATACAAAAACTTAGCTGGGCGTGTTGGCTCACACCTGCAGTCCCAGCTAATCAGGAGGCTGAGGAGAAGAACTGTTTGAACCTGGAAGTCGGAGGTTGCAGATCGCACCTGGGAGACAGATCGTGACTCCATCTTAAAAAAAAAATTATCCAGGCATGGTGGCGCACGCCTATAATCCCAGCTACTTAGGAGGCTGAGGCAGGAAAATCGCGTGAACCTGGGAGGTGGTGTTTGTGGTGAGCTGAGATCACACCCCTGCACTCTAGCCTGGGCAACTGGACTCCGTCTCAAAAAAAAAAAAAAAAAAATCTCAGACCTAAAAACAAGGCATGGATACTATGTTCTTTAGCAAAAGTAGCAGAAAATTGTGAAAGAAAATATCAGTTGCATGCCAATCCAGTGTGAGCGTGCTCATGCTTCAAATGCCAACACTGGCTGACTGATGCAATGCGGGACCCAGATAAATTAAAAAGTGGAAAATACCAACGCATAAAGTCACTCAAACCTCATTACATATAACCCTGGTAGTTAAGGAATATGTGTCAACAATAAAAAAGACCTACTGCTCACAACAGACACAAGAGTCCAACAGGAATCCAAGAGTCTTACTTCTTAATCACAAAACGAATCCTTTCCTTTGCAAGTAATATCCTCTCAAGGCGAGGAATTCCGTAAGTAGATGGCCTTCTAAAAGGGATTCCTTCAGGAAGTCCTTCTACATAAAGGTCTTCAACATGAGACTGGAAAAGAGGGTATGGGATCGTCACCGGGCCTTTGGCTTTTATGGCTTGAGCTTTAAGGACAAAAAGAGAAAGAGAGATCATTTAGGCAACATTTGTAGAAAAGTATAATAAATAACTGAATCTCTACTGCTCTTTAACTTTTATAATTTGATCTTTACTTGTTACTGTAGTTGAATCAGAAGAAAAATAGCATGAGGGAAATAAAAAGAACACCAAAAATGCTCATATTCTGATTATCAAAGTCTGCAGTGAAATATCCCATTACTTTATGGCAATGCGGCTACAGCCAGACTTTCTACAGAAATTTTTTTTTGGTGGGGGGATGGTGTGGAGTCTTGCTCTGTAGCCCAGGCTGGAGTGCAGTGTCGAAATCCTGGCTCACTGCAACCTCCGCTTCCCAGGTTCAAGCAATTCTCCTGCCTCAGCCTCCTGAGCGGCTAGCTGGCACTACAGGCGCATGCCACCACACCCAGCTAATTTTTTGTATTTTTAGTAAAGATGGGGTTTCACCATGTTGGCTAGGCTGGTCTCAAACTCCTGACCTCAAGTGATCCCCCTGCCTTGGCCTCCCAAAGTTCTGGGACTACAGGCATGAGCTACCTCGCCTGGCCAACTTTCTACAGAAATCTGAACCATATTACAAAGCCAGAAAAACACACCAGGTGTGTTTAATACATATAGTACTAAATGGAAGAAGCAGTATTTTAAAAATGTAAACATTACTGTAGCCTTATTGGGCTTATAAAAATAATTTCTTTTAAATAACAGAGGCAAGCTGGTTACAGTGGCTCACACCTGTCATCCCAGCACTTTGGGAGGCTAAGGCAGGAGGATCACCTGAGGTCAGGAGTTCCAGACCAGCCTGGCCAACATGGTGAAACCCCATCTCTACTAAAAATACAAAAATTAGCTGGTGTGGTGGCCGGTGCCTATAATCCCAGCTACTCAGGAGGCTGAGGTAGGAGATTCCCTTGAACCAGGAGACGGAGGTTGCAGCGAGCCGAGATAGTGCCATTGCACTCCAGCCTGGGCAACAGAGCAAGACTCCGTCTCAAAAATAAATAAATAAATAAAAACAAATAAATAACAGAAGCAGAAGATTCTCCTGAACTACAAAATTTCTGCTAAGATTTATTTACCCAAGAGTAAAATAATACAGCAGCTGTAAACCGTCAAGAGTGTGGGGAGTATTAAAATCAAACATAAAGGGCCAGGCGCGGTGGCTCATACCCGTAATCCCAGCACTTTGGGAGGCTGAGATGGGCGGATCACCTGAGGTCAGGAGTTTGAGACGAGTGTGACCAGCATGGAGAAACCCCATCTCTACTATAAATACAACATTAGCTGGGCGTGGTGGCGCACGCCTGTAATCCCAGCTACTTGGGAGGCTGAGGCAGGAGAATCACTTGAATTCAGGAAGCAGAGGTTTCAGTGAGCGGAGATCACACCATTGCACTCCAGCCTGGGCAACAAGAACCAAACTCCGACTCAAAATTAATTAATTAATTGATTGGCTGGGTATGGTGGCTCATGCCTGTAATCCAAACCCTTTGGAGGCCAAGGCGGGTGGATCACCTGAGGTTAGGAGTTCAAGACCAGCCTGACCAACATGGTGAAACCCCATCTTTAAAAAAAAAAAAATTTAAATAAATAAATAAATAAATAAATCATAACGAGTGGTCTCCCATCAGAACAGCTCCATTTTTCTTTTGCTATTATTGTGTGCAATAGTCTTATTTCCTAAACATTCATATTTGTACTAAAACTTCAAGTGCACCATGTTATACGCTAGCGTTAAGTTTGAGTTAATGTCCACTATCGTACACTAAACTTGAATATCGTATTTATATGTCACAATGAAAATCTCTCTCCCTAAGGCAATTATCATTCATATTGCTTTGAAATTATAAAATGTGAAGACGTTTTTATAATTTCACAACAGCTGATGAACATTATGTATTGTCTTGTATACAAAATAATCTAATAAATCACCATCACAACAAAAGCCCCACAACATAACCCATTTCACTTCGTGAAAAACACTAACATTTGCAAAAATGTCATAGTAAATTTATAAAACTGTAATAAGAAATTATTTTAATGCAGAATAGCACCAAATAAAGAATAGAATAAAAATATAAACAGGCAGCCTTTATTATATGTATGCCAGGTATTATGTGAAGCACTTTACTGTCTTATCAATCTTCAGGATAGATCTTCAGTTCTCACGACCACAAAAGAGGATACCTTCATTCTCATGGCTTAAAAAAAATAAAAATAAAAATAAAAATAAAAATAAAAAAATTATAATTAAAAAAAAAAAAAAAAGGATACCAGCACTCAGACAAGAGAAGAGGTGTGGCCAGTCTGTGTCCCCAGAGCCTATGAGCTTACCACTAGGTGACAGTGCTTCCAGGTAGCACATGTGGTGAGGTTTTAGCTTCAAAATTAACCAATAAAAAACACGGGGCTGGATGCGGTGGCTCATGCCTGTAATTCCAGCACTCTGGGAGGCCAAGGTGGGTGGATCACCTGAGACCAGGAGTTTGAGACCAGCCTGGCCAACATGGTGAAACCCCGTCTCTACTAAAAATACAAAAGTTAGCCGGGCGTGGTGTCGGGAGCCTGTAATCCCAGCTACCCAGGAGGCCCAGGTAGGAGAATCACTTGAACCTGGAAGGCAGAGGTTGCAGTGAGCCAAGGTCACACCACTCCAGAATCGGCAGTAAGAGCGAAATTCCGTCTCAGAACAAAAAAACAAAAAAAACCACAGGCAAAAAAGGCGTAAGCTACTAAAAAGTGGAAGAAACACTAAGAAACCTTAAGCAAATCACTGAAAATATGATGGAAAAATTATTGAATTCATTAGCAAATTTACTCTAATTCTAGATTTTCATTGAGGGGTAGGTTATATTACTCATGATGAATAAAAAAAAAGTTCATGGGGCCGGGCGCGGTGGCTCACGCCTGTAATCCCAGCACTTTGGGAGGCCGAGGCGGGTGGATCACAAGGTCAAGAGATCGAGACCATCCTGGTCAACACGGTGAAACCCCGTCTCTACTAAAAATACAAAAAATTAGCTGGGCGTGGTGGTGCGTGCCTGTAATCCCAGCTACTCAGGAGGCTGGGGCAGGAGAATTGCCTGAACCCAGGAGGCGGAGGTTGCGGTGAGCCGAGATCGCGCCATTGCACTCCAGCCTGGGTAACAAGAGCAAAACTCTGTCTCAAAAAAAAAAAAAAAAAAAAAAAAAAAGTTCATTTTAAGTTTATTAACACAAATACCATCAATATGGTTTGTGTTTAAATTTTCACCGAAAGCAATTCAGTGAAAACTGTGTATCATACAATTTTACAGCTCGCTAGTTGACGGCAAAGTAAATAGTCATCCAAATAAAAATAAAAATTGCAAAACATGATGTTTTTCACTGGTTGTTACTATTTTTCAGTAAGCATTTGATATATGCCAACAGATGATAATAACCAATTGCTAATGTCTTTCATCACTACATAAAGGTGGCTATAGGGTAGAATAGTATAAGGGCAAAGAAGGAATTGGAATCTAGCGTCAGCTCAGGTATGCATCAAGATAAAAGCAGAGGCCGGGCGCGGTGGCTCATGTCTGTAATCCCAGCACTTTGGGAGGCTGAGGCAGGAAAATCACTTGAGGTCAGGAGTTTGAGACTAGCCTCACCATCATGGTGAAACCCCTTCTCTACTAAAAATAGAAACATTAGCTGGGTATGGGCAGGTGCCTGTAGTCCCAGCTCCTTGGGAGAATGAGGCAGGAGAATCGCTTGAACCCAAGAGGCAGAGGTTGCAGTGAGCTGAGATCAGATCACTGAACTACAGACTCCGTTTCAAGAAAAAAAAGATAAAAGTAGAGACAATAGGGGCATCTCAGTGAATACTGGATTTAACAAAATAGATTAAGTGAAACTATCAGTTAAAAAAGTAATCTTTGGCCCGATATGGTGGCTCATGCAGGTAATCCCAGCACTTTGGGAGGCCAAGGCGGGCGGATCACGAGGTCAGGAGATTGAGACCATCCTGGCTAACACAGTGAAACCTCGTCTCTACTAAAAATACAAAAAATTAGCCGGGCATGGGGGCGCACACCTGTAGTCCCAGCTACTCAGGAGGCTGAGGCAGGAGAATCGCTTGAACTGGGGAGGTGGAGGTTGTGATGAGCCGAGATCACACCATTGCACTCCAGCCCAGGCAACAAGAGCGAAATGCCGTCTCATTTAAAAAAAAAAAAAAAATCTTCAAATAAATCCCCCAAATCCAGAGCTTTGCAATAAATATATAAGTAAATTCCCAAATATCCATGCTGAAAGTTTAAGAGAAATGTTAGCTGATAATTACAGAAATACAACTTTTCCTTAGCTTTATAGTCACCTAGAAACAAAGACTGCTTCTAATTTTTAGACAGACTGTGCTAAGAACCTTACAAGGAGAGGCTTGTAAATAAGTATGGCAAGGTTCATCGGCAGCGCTGGGCTTGCCCACATCACCCCTGTGATGAACAGTAACGCCATTGTGTAAATGCTCACCAACAAAGTATTACAGGAATTTTCCTGTTTAGACATACCATATTTCCTTTCAAACAATTCTTCAACTTGTTTACGCAGATCAGTGATGCGAGCATTCCATTTCTCTGAAAATTGAGCAAAAGTGAATTCTCAATAAGAAGTCCCTACTGTTGGGGGTGGCCCCAGGGTTTTGAGATGACCAAACATGTAATGACTAATTTTCTACATTTGGACATCCCAACTGTCCATCTCATTTTACTGCTTTCCAAAGAACTTTCCCCTTTTTGGTAGTTTTTGGAATTACTAGATTGGCACAAAAGTAACCGTGGCTTTTGCCATGACTTTTAATAGTTTCATGGGAGACTATAAGAGAAGTTTTAACATTTAGCACCTCTTTTTAGCCTTTTGATTTCTGAAAAGCGGGAGGGCAGAAAAGATCAATCAAATTAAACACGACAAAAGGAATGCCATGATAAAGAGGGGTCTTTTGGCAAACTTCCTAAAACATGTCTTAGTTGTGTGGAAATAAGACTTTACAGATACAGAATTGCAACTTAGAATGCTAAAAACAGGCTGGGTGCAGTGGCTCACGCCTGTAATCCCAACATTTTGGGAGGCCAAAGCGGGCGGGGCATCTGAGGTCAGGAGTTCGAGACCAGCCTGGCCAACATGGTGAAACCTCATCTCTTCTAAAAATACAAAAATTAACCAGGCATAGTGATGGGAGCCTGTCATCCCAGCTTCTCGGGAGGCTAAGGCAGGAGAATCACTTGAACCCAGGAGGCAGAGGCTGCAGTGAGCCAAGATCATGCCACTGCACTCTGGCCTGGGCAAAAGAATAAAACTGTCTCAAAAAATCATAATAATAAAAAAATAACATAAACACATAAAAATAGTACGAAAATTCAATTCATATCCAGTCATTGTGACTACGACAGTAGAATATTAAAATATGATTTCCAAAATGTATACAAGCTTAATGTTCCATTTATTCAAAAGATGAATCATAACATAATTTGCCACTAATATCTCATTCAGTCCCTTCCTAGGACACATCATCCATTGGGAGCTCACAGATGAGCAGCCTGAGTGACACGGAGCAAAGGGTGAAACAGTTCTACAATAAAGGTTCTAAAGCTAAGAGAAATAACTAAATGACTAAGTCTCTAGCACTAATCTTGGGCCAAATAATTAATATCAGACAGGACAATGTCCTACGCTTTGGTAAATCCAGACTATGCTTAAACAATGCCTGTTATGTGACTTTCAAAATGCTCCTGGCTTTCCAAAGATGAGATTATAATGCAGTTAACGCAGGCTAACTAGCGCATTTCCCCCTGCAGAGCGTGTTGCAACTTTTATCCGTCACACCGAGAGCCCAGAAGATGAAGGAAAAGGTCACGTATTTCACTGGGAACTTACCAAAGTTGAACTCCCTGACTTTCCGCTTCCCTGCATTGGCGGGTTCTGGGACTGGTGGCTGTGGCAGCTCGTTGGTCTTTGGTCTCTTAGAAGGTGGAGAATAATCATCATCTTGAAAAAGAAATTGGTCATTACTGAAGGAACCGTCTTAAGAGTTACAGCCACCTCCTGGTCAATTCCCTACATTCAAAAGGTGAGTGGGGCTTTAGAGCTGTCTTGAGTATCAATAGTTGTATCTGTACTGTGAGCCTTAGCAGACTTTTTCCTGGTTACATCTGAAATTTTATTTGTTTGGGATGTGTTCAAGTAATACTGCTTTTTCCTGTCTTTCTTCATTATTTTTTAGTTTGCTTCATTTGAATTGTCATTATAAACTTCCCCTTCTCAAATAACTTCAAAATAGCTGTCAAGAACTATATTCTAAGACTTTGAAGAAAAATATTGTAATGAAGATAGCCACCTAAAGTTATACAAATAAGTAAGAAACGGGGGATTCATAAAAGCTTAGATGGAAAAGATATTTAAGCTTATACGAAATGTAAGCATACATAAGCAAGGGAAATTGGATAACTGTATGTTCAAATATTTTTTTTTTCTTTTTGAGACAGAGAATTGTTCTGTTGCCCATGCTGGAGTGCAGTAGTGCGATCTTGGCTCACTGCAACGTCCACCTCCTGGGTTCAAGCAATTCTCATGCTTCAGCCTCCCAAGTAGCTGGGATTACAGGCGTCCACCACCATGCTCAGCTAATTTTTGTATTTTTTGGTAGAGACGAAGTTTCATCATGTTGGCCAGACTGGTCTCGAACTCCTGGCCTCATGTGATCCACCCACCTTGGCCTCCCAGAATGCTGGGATTACAGGTGTGAGCCACCACGCCTGGCCTGTTCAAATACTTTTAACAAGTGCAAAATGAATGGGCTTAAAGAAATAGGGCTGCATTATTATGAAACAGATACTGTTGATTCAGTCACCAGAGAGCCTGTGTATAAAGGAGCAGTCCGCTATTCAAGCGTAGCACACACTCTAGTCAAGACAGCTGTCCTGAGAGTTCCATGCTCATTTCCTTGTGGACACACCAGTAACTCACTCTGCTGTGACGCTTCAATACGCCTGATGTTACCGTTAGAGACCTCTGGGTCAAATCAGCTGCCACTGTCATCTTCCAGTCCCCCAGAATGTCAGGTAACATGCTATTAATACTGCTCAAACATCATCCATTAAATACTGAAACATCATTTTAAGAAATGCCTTTTTAAAAACAAATGTGGCATGGCAAAGAAACTAATCACTGCGTTAAAGACAGTACCACAGGAAAGAAACACCACCCAAGAACAGTCAGCTGTCTTTTTAGATGGGTATATTGTTATGCTTATTTTACAGCTAAAGAAACGGGCTTGGGAATGTTATTTGATTGAACTGTGTTGCCTCTTTGGACAGTGCAGCTGAGATCAGACTGCGCGTGCGTGTGACTCTACTGGCCTACCAGGGTGCTTCTCATAAAGGTAAGACATGCAAATTTGGCCTAATGTACAATGTTGCCCCGGGCAGCACTGGGTCATGCCTACAGATAA